AGGTTTCAAAATTAAAATTTGCAATTCAGAATCTCTCAAACCTTCTAAAGGCACTCTTAATGCCACAGAAAAAGGAACAACTATTTAACTTTTTCACATCTTGTGACACAATCTCAGCTCTTCAAAGATCTTTCCCATGGCACTGTCCTAAGTTAGCATGAACCACAACTGACTTTTCTTGCTTAAAAAAAATCCAGAATGTATTTTCTCGCAGTGGGAGCCCTAACCCATGTCCCTACAGAATCCAAGGCCTCAGTGCTGCATCTGGAGACACTCAGCCAGCAGCACTGGGCTGACCAGACCCCCAAATCAGCCTCAACCATCACTCACCAGCACAGGCAGCTGGAGCTGACCCTCAGCCACGCTGCTCGAGCCAGTTTTGCCATTCAGAACAGAGATACAGATTTCCCACACATCCAAAAACACTGAATGAGTCTTTTTTTAACATTCCAGGCACTTGTTTATGTGCTCTAGTTATCCATGATGTGAAGGGGAAAGAAATGGTCTGTGAATTCCACATTTCAGCACCCGGCATGTTGCTGGACACCGCAATGCTGCTGCTGTGCTTTTTCATCAAGCCCACACATCAAGATTTGGTTTTGAAGCACCAGGTTTTTCCAGGTAAAATGTGACATGGAGTTTCCCAAAGCTTGCCACTGTCATCCTATGGATGGGTAAGCATCAGGATGGAGAAATAAGGCAACTTTTTGCAGCCAGTATACATAGAAGCAGGAATAGACTAACATGAAACCTCAGAGGACTCAGTCATCACTCCTCTGCTGTCATCTCTGACCACAATCTCTCTGTGTAAACAAAGGCTCTGGCCACTGCAGGGTTTTCTGGCCTGCTGTAAAATGTTTTGCCACCCCTCTCACAGGAATTGTTGATGCTTAAAAAAGAGGCAGCCTTTTCTCATAGTGCCAGCGTCTCTGTACAGGAGTCAGGATGTCAAGAAAGTACAGGCGGATGCAGCCAGGAATACCCAGAAACTTGAGCAATTGCAGTCAGTTGTAATCTGAATTAATGAGCACATAATTATTGGTCCAGATTAATATTAGTCCAGATTGCAAATAAAGTCCATTCTGGGAGAATTGAATGGTGTTAGTCAAACTCAGCCTTCTTCTGAATTTTCACTTTTAACAGCAAAGAAACACAGATTTCAGGAGACAAGAAACATGGCTTGGCTGTTCTTCAGCACTATTTTGCTCAGTGTGTGAAAGAGAGACAGAAAGACATATTGCAATCTCTTTTATCACCTGATGAGAATTAATGAATCAGCATGATTGTAAGACAGTCTCCTGATGACAAAAATGCTCTGAACAATGGCTGGGTTGCTGTGACAGGGTCTTCCAGAGCATCAGGATTTATTTATGTGTGTTCAGATTGGTTTGGAGCTTTTCAAAACATTGATATGCTCAGTCCTGTACATGCTAACCATCAGCCACAACCCTTGAGTGAACAGGAATTAATAAGCATTCACTGCTTTGGACCCCCAAAGTCAAACTCAGGATGTGTTTCCTAAGGTAGCTCACACTTGTACACAGCATCCCCCATGAAATTATGGTGTCACATAATTCCAGCACAGGGCTGGAACTTCTGTTCTTTGATACCTTTGCCTTGTATTTTTCTGATATTGTTCAACTACGTACAGTATTTGGAGCACTGTCACACGTGCTCAGGAGATAATGTCAATGGAATTGTGTGTTGTCACAGGGTAACAGCCTCCTGCTGCTGCTGAAATGCCAAATTGAAGCCGAGGCATTTATGGAAAATAAACGTCAAGTCAAAGCCAAGATGTTTATTTTAAAAGCAAGAGACATGGATCTTGTGGCAATGTTCCATCATGTCTCTATTTCTCTAATAACAAATGTCCAGTGTGAATAGAGCCAAGTGATGATTTCTTCCTGGGGCAGCAGGGAGAGGGTGAAGCCTGATCACTTCACATGAGGATTCTCAGAGTTGTTTCTCACCTACTTTCCTGCAGGTTTTAGTCAACTGTCCAGGTAGCAAACACAAAATGATTTACCAGATGCGTGCTAAGTTTGCTAAGAGATTAGGGAAGACAGCAGGAAGAAAAATGGACAGCAAATGCATTTTTAATTTGCTTTTCAGTAGTTCTTTTTCTCCAGAGAAGGAACGACAACACAAGGCTCACTGAAATCAATGGGAGGATTTCCAGGCTTTTCAGTGGACTTTGATAAATGCCTTAAGAGAACAAATAGCTCATGTTTTTAGAGGGAATTATGTTAATATTAGTGGTCCCTGAATTTGATTCATGAAGGCACAGCTGGACCAAGACTGGGCAAGATCCTTGTCTAAGGGGCATCATGAGACACACAGAGCTCAGAGCAGCCCTGGAGCTTCAGGGATGGCTTACAGCAGCAAGTCAGAGTGGCAACAGCAAATCCACTGCCCTAGCTACAGCTACAATGAAGGAAGGGGTTAGTCCCAGTGTCCAGCACCATTCCCAACCTCCTACCCTACTGCTGGTGCTGCTGGTAGGGACAGAACCCATTCAGCAGGACCTTCCTCTTGCAATCTGTTTTGCATGGAGGGAGGTGCATGAAGACAAGCTGGAAGCTGTGCAAAGCATCTCAAAGGACTGAGTGTGTATAAAAACACCCACATAGCTCACTTCAGCTCCTGAAATGCTGAGGTTTCACAGCTCATGCCAACAGGCTTCCTCAAATGCAATACATTTTGGTTCTCGTCAGATCTACCTGTTGCTCATTAAAAACTGTGATTTGGAGAGGAAGGAGAAACAAACCATTTCAGTGCTTAAGCTCTTCTCTTGACCTAACAGAACATCCTTAAATAATATGCAAGTGAATGGAAATATTTAAATCATGTTAAAGAGCTGTCTGAAATTAAAAAAAAAAAAAGGAAATTAGGAGAAGAAGATTTGCAAAAGGTAATGCTCTGAAAGGGGTTAAGCCCACAGTGAATTCTTGGCTGCTCTGTACTGCAAGGGCCAGAGGGATGTTCTGTACAGAATTCGTAAACTTGCTTATTTTTTCCTTTGGAGATGCATTGTTTCCCAAAGACATTCTGGCTCCAGCTCTGATCTGACATTCCAGATTGACGCGTGTGGAACCAACAAAGACACAGAGAAGCAACACACAATTATGTGTCTTCTGCTTTATTGCATACTTGTTAATAATTTCCTTTAGTCCTCCAGCCTTTAAGCTTATCTTCTCTTACGGTAGGAAGAGACCTCCTGCTGGAGATCTGATAGGATAGCTTGATAGGCAAAGAGCTGGCATTTTATTAGTTTATGGTATTTATTAACTGTGTAAAGATATTACAACAATAATGGATCTGGACAGATGACAGATGGATGGTGCTCCAGGAATAGCAAGCAAAACAGCTGCAGGGTATCCCCACCACTGCTTCAGTGTCATCTTGGGAAAAATATGTAAGATTTTATCAGATTTTTTTCTGGCTGATTTTATGCTAAAATGGATTGTACACATTCACAAAATTCATCCAAGCAACTCATCTGTGAAGGTTTTGGTGCAATGATGCACCATGGGCCTCGTACTTACTTTAAGTGCTCCAGCTAAATGTAGAAAAGAAAAAATCATTTCTATCCCACAGTTCCACTAACCTGGTTTCATATTATTACTTTTTTTTTTTTAGATCAGAATTACAGATACCAGACCTGAGCAAATACTCCTGGAAACAACCCTTCTGCTTTTCATTTGGCATAAGGTCTCTCTCTGTTCTTGAAGATGTCATGCCTCCTTCCCTTCCCACTAAAGAGGGTCATGCTTTGGTCCAGCAGATGACGAGCAGCAAAGCAAAGTCCATGGGAACATGAGGGAATGGTTTGCCAAGCAGCAGGTCCACGCTGGTGTGTGGCCTTTAGTCAGGGTTAAATAAACAGTGTGTAAATAAATAAATAATTTTTTTCCCAGGTTGCGACCTTGTAAATCAAGCCTAAGCCTAGAAGGGATTTTTATGGGCCAGCTGGAACAGCAGAGCAGTCTTAGCAGAATAAATATATAGGGGGAAGAAAATAACTGTGACTTCCAGTTGCTCCCAGAGTGCTGTGGGGAACATTTGGTGCTGCTGTAAAGGCATGCCAATGATTTAAAAGGCAGGAGAGAGGGGACATTGTTCTCATTTACTCAGTGGTTGCTCCACATTATTTTAAGAAGTTTAAAACAGTAAAATGCAGTAAAATGCAGTCTTACAGCTTCAGAGCAGTACAGAGAGCCAAGCAGGTAGATGGAAATATAACCAAATAAGTTCCTAGCAGGCGGTTTCACAGAAGGGAATGGGACCTGGGCAGGGCTTTGCTCAGCTGGTTATCTGGGCATTGCATTCTCCTGATGTTTCACGTACTTTAGTGTTCATTACCAAACAGGCACTAACAGCGTTAATACTTAGAGCAGTCCCTAGATTTCGTGGCTTTGACCAGACTGTGTAAAAGCTACTGCAGGCATTTTTAAAAGTCCAGAAACACAGCAGAGAAAAAAAGGGAGCTGGGGTTCCCACCTCTCAACTCTGCAGTGCCTTGGTCTGGCAGGGCTGGAGGAGAAGGGGAAAAGAGGATTCGCAATGGGGAGACGCAGGGGACAAGCGGCAGCCGCAGTCCCCGCACGGAGCTGGCAGCATCATGCCTTTAAACGGGTTTTGCACGGGAGCTCTGGGGCTGCCCAGGCTTTGAGAGGAGGCACTGGGGACAAGGGACTTGCAAGCGCGACACTTGTCCCTGATGGGGACATCCAATGGGAGGGGATGTCAATTACTTTCCAGTGGAGAATGACGCTGACAGCGCTGGCATTTTGCTTTCTCCAGGGATAAACAGAAGTAACTTCTGCTCCAGAAGCCGGTAAGAGCCACCCTGCCTGCCCTGCGGCTGCCGGGCACAGACACCCCTTACCCGGGACAAGGACAAGCCTTGCCCGGGACATCCACGCTGCCGTGCGGGAAGGGGGCTCTGTGCCCGGCAGCCGCGGGGCAGGCAGAGCGTAGCCGGAGCAAAGACGGGGGTCCGGCGGGGTACCGGCATGGATAGGGGCAGGAATAGGGCAGGGATAGGGGCAGGGACAGGGACAGCGGTACGGCCGGTGCGCGGGCGGGGCGCTTCAGCGCCGCTCGCTCGGTGCCGATTGGCGGCGGGCGGTGCCGGGGCGGTACCGGGGCGGTACGGGGGCGGTACGGGGGCGGTACCAGGGCGGTGCCGGGGCGGAGCGGCGGCCGGAGCGCCCCGCACAGCCATGGGCGATGGGTGGCTGCCCCCGGACTGCGGCCCCCCGAACCGCTCCGTGGCCGGGGTGACGGCCGTGCCGCCCGGGAGCCGGCAGCTGCCCGCCGCCGAGCTGTCGCAGCAGTGGGCTGTGGGCATGAGCCTGCTGATGGCCCTGGTGGTGCTGCTCATCGTGGCCGGGAACGTGCTGGTGATCGCGGCCATCGGGAGGACGCAGCGGCTGCAGACCCTCACCAACCTGTTCATCACCTCGCTAGCCTGCGCCGACCTGGTGATGGGGCTGCTGGTGGTGCCCTTCGGGGCCACGCTGGTGGTGCGGGGCACCTGGCTCTGGGGGTCCTTCCTGTGCGAGTGCTGGACCTCCCTGGACGTGCTCTGCGTGACGGCCAGCATCGAGACCCTGTGCGTCATCGCCATCGACCGCTACCTGGCCATCACCTCGCCTTTCCGCTACCAGAGCCTCATGACCAAGGGTCGGGCCAAGGGCATCATCTGCACCGTCTGGGCCATCTCCGCCCTGGTCTCCTTCTTGCCCATCATGATGCACTGGTGGCGGGATGACGACCCCCAGGCGCTGGAGTGCTACCAGGATCCGGGCTGCTGCGACTTCGTCACCAACAGGGCTTACGCCATCGCCTCGTCCATCATTTCTTTCTACATCCCCCTTCTCATCATGATCTTTGTGTATCTGCGGGTGTACAGAGAGGCCAAGGAGCAGATGAGGAAGATCGATAGGTGCGAGGGCCGGTTCTACGGCAGCCAGGAGCAGCCGCAGACGCCCCTGCCCGCTCACCCTCACCACCAGCCCATCCTCGGCAACGGCCGGGCCAGCAAGAGAAAGACCTCCCGCATCATGGCCATGAAGGAGCAGAAAGCCCTCAAGACTTTGGGCATCATCATGGGGGTGTTCACCCTCTGCTGGCTCCCCTTCTTCCTGGTGAACATCGTCAACGTCTTCAACAGGGACCTGGTGCCGGACTGGCTCTTCGTTTTCTTCAACTGGCTGGGCTACGCCAACTCCGCGTTCAACCCCATCATCTACTGCCGCAGCCCCGACTTTCGGAAGGCCTTCAAGAGGCTGCTGTGCTGCCGCCGGAAAGCCGAGCGGTGGCTGCAGGGCGGCGGCGGGGAGCTGGCCCGGCTGCCCGGGGGCTTCATCAGCACCGTGGGCTCCCCCGAGCGCAGCCTGGCCGGGACCTGGTCCGACTGCAACGGGGGCACGCGGGGCGGCAGCGAGTCCAGCCTGGAGGAGAGACACAGCAAAGCCTCCGACTCGGAGTCCAAGGTATAGGGGGGCGTGGGGGCCGCGGCGGAGCCGGGACAGGGGGAAGGCAGGCAGGGAGACGCGCCGGAGCGGAGAAAGCCCCGGCAGCTGCCTGATGGTGATGGTAATGCTACTGCCGAGCGAAACGATCCCTGCCCTGGCAGCGGGAGTGCGGGTGTTTACTTAGGAATAAAAGCAGGTGAACTGGTGTGCGACATACCTCATCCGAAACTACAGAGAGCAGGAGACCCACTGAGCGGACAGCAGAGGAAACAAGCGGCCCATGCCGGGGACAGCCGCCGTGTCTGTAGCAGACGCGCTGCCGAGGGGACGGTGGCGGCAGCGCCCGCGCTCGGGTGGCTGTCCCAGGACCGTGCTGCTGGCCCTTGGCGGCCGAGCTCGGCTTCAGCCCGGGCTCCGGCCACCCCGCCGGCCCCGGCGCTCATCCCCTCTCCCAGGGCACCGGGATTTTGGGGAGGCGCGGGGTCGGTGCTGCAGGTGCTCCAGCGCAGAGCGCGGCCGGCAAGACGGAGACCTGCCGGCAAGATGAGTTTTAAGCTCGGAGTGGCCGTGCTCTGCTCGCCTGCAGAGTAGCGAGAGAGAAAATAATGAGCAGTGAGGAGCGCTGGTGTATTTTGGAAGGGGGTAAAACAACCCAACCCACACTCTTGTGCTTATTCCCTCTGCATCAGCCAGCAGTGAGTTACTGTGCTTATCTCCTTCGGCCAGACAATAGCAGTCAGGCTGAGAAACTTCTACCTCAAGCTGTGCATATTGTACAGGGGAATGAACGGACCATGTTTATATTAAACAGCATATTTACATACCACTAATGGGGTTTTAGGACAAGGGCCGGGGAGGGGGGGTGAGGAACCTTCTGCAGCTTGTTCATTGTAATTACAGATGAACGGGGGGAGGGGGGAGAATCCTGGCAACAAAAAATTTACTGCACATCTTTTTTTTTAAAAAATGGCGACAAAGTCGTTTTTTGCACAGTGTTAAAGAGTTGTAAAGTTATTTGAGGATATTACTTGCACACACATACACACATGCAGATTGAAAAGGAAACGGAGGTTTGCGTAACACCGACCCTGAACCTGATTTCTGGTTTTGTCTGATCTGTTATAGTTTTATTGAGAGAGTGACTTTTTTAATATTATTTTTTGAAGGTACTGTAAATATATCCATATTATAAATTAAAATATCTTAAGAGACTTTATTATTTTTATTTTTATTTCCAAATGCCCACGTGAATCTGCTGTTATTTTAGCACTTGTGTGTCATTTCCATTTTTCTCTCTGTGTGTGTTTTATAACATATTTATACTTTGGTGCAATTTACTACTGTGTAAGTAATTGGTCTATGTGCAATAAATACCATTGCAGCACATGCAAGTGTGTCTCTATAGGTTTTGAAACAATACCAACCTGTAATGGGAAGAACAGCATTTGTTTTTCTCCAAAGATGGCTCAGATTACCAATACAACTTGATCTAATGGCTTTTCCTGACACAGTGTTGTAAAAAACCTGTTTGAAACCCAGTATGGTTGTGTTCCTGTTGCAGTGAGATCCACTGACTTCCCTTATTAATGGGAAAAAATTAATGGCTAATGACAAGGTGTTTCCACTCTGATAATGAATACTCATTTTCTTGAACTATTCCTTTCTGGAATATATTTTTCTCTTTTTTTTCTTTTTTTTTTTTTCTTTTGTCGTTGTCATTGGAGTACATGGCTGGGAGTCAGGAGACCAGAATATTTAAGATTACAGAGGACGCTTAATTTGAAAGCTTAAAATGGTCTTGAGTAGAAAGAAATCTCTGTAAGCATTACATGCCACCCCACAAGTGGGTCCACCTCATGCTGACAGCAGGCCTGATCCTGCCCAAGCAGGTCATGATAACTGAATGTTGTATTTTTCATTGATCTAAGTAAAGAGTTACAGTGAGCAGAAGTGCTGCAGCTTTGTGTTCCTGCTCCAAAAGATTGTCTTCCTTTATTGCTTTATGAAGGTGTGTTCTATCCTTGTGGTTTCATAAAGTTTTTCCTTACTGAAATGAATAAATGGCAGACAGAGAAACAAAAAGACAGTGCAGAATAAAAGTGAAGTATTTTTTGGCTTTATTAAACTCAGGAGTACAGTTTAATTAAATATCAGCTCCCAGGAACAGCACTTCCCAAAGCGAGTTCTTCAGGGTGGTGGCTCACAGTTTGTTTTGGAAACCACTTGTTCATTTTTCTTTGTTTTCAAAGTTAAGGAATTTGTCCTTTGCAATTTCTAATGTTGTATTTTCAGGGGGAAAAAAAAGTTACTCTTTTTATGCAAATACAAAATAAAGGGACTGGAGAAGTAAATAATACTTTTCCATTGATGTCACTGGAGTTTGATGTGAGCTGCAGTTAATGGTGTCTTCCTTGATAACAGTGAAATGGGCTCCTTAAAATGCTGGGGTGACATCAGATCAGGAGCTAAGTGGGCTCTGCCATCAAATGATTTTTTTAAAATTCTGGTTTTATCTTTGATTACAGCAAACATAGCAGGACCAAATGGGTGCCCTGGATGGTGATGTCTGATGCCAGATGTTGGCTGTGCATGTCTGGGATGGGATGGGATGGGATGGGATGGGATGGGATGGGATGGGATGGGATGGGATGGGATGGGATGGGATGGGGAGACAGTGCTGCTCTCCTTGTGCATGTTGTGGATCACAGAGCCAGGGCAGGGCCAGGTCCCTGCCTGCTGGGTAGAGCAGGACAGGATCCCAGCACCTGGCTGGGAACTGAAGTGACTGTCAATCCCTTATCCTCAGCAGGGTACTAGATCCTGGAGAAGCACAGGGCCTACTGCATGGAGCAGGACAGCCTGATGGACTTGGCTCTTCAGCTTATAAATCAGTTCATACACTCAGTTTTAACTATCCAAACACTCCTGTCCTTAGGCTTTATAAAGTGGTGACATTTTTGCCTCAACAGGGTCCAACTTAGGTGGGAAATTTATGGCCAGAACTTACTCTGCTTGCCCTGCTGAAGAGCTGTACTGGGTGATGCATCTCCTGGATAAGTGTAATGGCACTGAGGTAGGATGAGTTTGGCCCACTGACCCCAGAAGGGCCAGCTGTGTCAGCAAAGCAGTCAGGATTTGTCTGCTGTTGAATTTTTGCCAATTGAGGACCTGCTGGAAGAGTCTGGAGGCTGACATGTTGAGTGCTTTCGTAGAGAGCTGAAGCAATCCCACTGGCAGCCTGCACAGGGGATGCCAGTCCATCTTGCACGGCGTGGAAAAGGCAGTGGTACAGTAACAGTGAGGCCAGAGCAGGACATGTGGCACACACGTGTGCGAGGAAGGGGAGGCTGCTGGCGAGCAGTCTGCTGTGGATCACACTCAGAACACGCTGTTCTCTGCAGGGAAGGAGGATACTCTGAGAAGTGTTGTGGGGCAGCTGAAATACTCCGGAGGCAATGAGTCAAACACTCAGGATGAATATTTTTTTCTGACGAAAACCAGACGTGGATTAGCAGTTGGAGCTGCAAGTCAAAAAGAAAAGGTGGTAGGCATGCGGCTGCACACGTACGTGGGCAGGAAAGCAGCAGCCAGGAGCTGCAGGCCTGCAGGGAAGGGAGACACAGGTAAACCAGAAATCCGCCCAGAGAAAATGTCCTGCAGCTGCCAGGACCAAAATTGCTTGGCGAGGATGCCTGGAGACTTCCACATGGAAGACGCCTGATTGTCCGAGGCGCCGGCCACACTCTGTGCAGTGTTTGCTCAGCACTTCTGAAAAGAAGGCTGCCTCTCTCCACGTGTTTGAATGGGAATAGACCAGCTTGAAGGGCTGGATTCAGTTCTGCGTGTGCTCAGGGAAGCTGAGGCTGTTTCAGACACCCAGCAGGCTCTGCAGAAAGACTCCCCACTGGTGAGAGCTGCACAGAAGCCCTCCTGCAAATCCACTGCACTCTGAGACTGCAGCCCTCAGCATCCACTGTCTATAGCTCCAAGCAGCATGGAACTATGTGCAAAAAAGGGGGATTATGATCTAAACTGTGCATTTGACAGCATCAGCTGGGTGTTTGAGTCCCTGCATGCACTGGTTCTTATGCAGATGCTGCTTTCCCTCATGTGTCGTCAACTATAAGGACAACTTCTTTATCAGCTTTTTTTTTTTTCCTTAACACTATCTGAGGCTGAGTTTTTATTAACAACCTTGAAGAGGCTATTTTGCAAACCTTCCTTGTGCTGCACACTTTCCTAATTTATTGTAATTTCCCGTCTGGTGGAGTGCACTTACTTCCTTTATGTAATATATCAGCTGCAGGCCTGGAAATTGGGCAGCTATGAACTGAAAAGAGCAGACTTTCGTGAGGCCAAATGCGGTCAGGCATCATTGCCACTGGGAGCAGAATTTGACCTGATAATCTAATCTCATACGAGAGACTATCTCCAGAAAAGTATTGTTACCAACAGCAAATGACCTCTGCTAATGAAGCTGGAGCAATTAGTCCTATTTAAAGCTGTCGAGAAAATGTTAACTGCTAAACAACAGTTAGTGCTGGATAGTTCAAATAATGAGCGTTTTGTTTGCTGGTGTGTGTTAGGTGATGTGTTGGGAAATAATTATCCTTTGACTAGCAGCCAGCTTTGTACTAATCAGAAAGGAGAAGTCATGTTCTGTTTGAAGGATTATACCTAAAAATAGTTCTGTTACCACCACATCAACGAGCAAGATGAAGCAAATTCTCGGCGATGTACACACCTTGCTAACGTTTCACTTTTCCTCCTAAAAACTCATTGTTCAGCTGGGACGTTCTGTTTGATTGTGCCAAGAGCACTAATGTGATCTCCTGCAGTAGCACTAAGCACACTCTCCCCACAGAGCATTACCCCATGCACCACTGACTCGCTTTCAGACCCTGCCAAACTCCCAAACGCCCCAGGAGGAAGTAAGGGTTCTTTCTCTTCATATAAACAATCAACGCATAATGTAAGATCAACAATATTTTTTGACAATCATGTGGCAGAAGAAATCGATCTGCTTTTTCTCTAAGATGTTTGTATGCCTGCCCATCCGCCAGGAGCAGCTGCCCATGGTAACAGCAGGTGATTTATCCCTGCAATTCAGTAACTTCAGCCTGCCAAACTCTGCTGGGAAAAGTGACCAAGATGGGAAAAGGATAAAGAAATGTGATGCTGGTGGGCAAGCACAGGATTGTCAATGCAAAAAGGAAAACTGGGGTATCTTTGGCAATGCTGAAGGTGTTGCCTTTTACTGGTAAAGTGTGATTGGTTTGGAGGGGGATACACCAGGCAGAGGCACTGTGGAAACAGGTTAAGAAGTGTGAGAGGTCAGACATTCCATATAGGACTATGCCACCAGAGGACTGGCAGCTGAAATATGCCCAAAACATTCCTAGAAGTTTTTCTTACTCTTTGTGGATAACAGCAGCAGACTAAAGCACACCTGAGCAGCTTTCAGCTGCTGTAAAGCCACACAGCTCCCTGGCCAGCCACGGACACATGGGACTCCCTCAGCATCCCTTCCTCCTCTCCAAGTGGCTCCAGCTGAGTTGGAGCCATCCCCCAGCCTGGAGCCACCCTCCTGTTCCGTGGTGCCAAGCAGGAGGTGCCCCATGGCCTCGGGGGGTGGCAGTGCTGTGGGCAGGTGCTGTGGGGTGCAGGGTGTGCCCCTGGCATGCTGGCACTGGCTGCCAGCCGTGCCCCTGCCCTGACTCATCCTCTGTCCTTCCAACCAGCCACAGAATCGGCCCTGCTGTGCTGGAAATGGAGTTTGGGTTTGTTATGTAAACTGGCAATCAGCTTCCTGGTTCACCAAAACCAGCAGCTTGGCACTCACATTTGCTTCACAAGCTAACTTTTTTTCTTCCCTGCCCCATTCAGCTTCCAGGTTTTTCATGGTAATGTTTGCCTGCTTGGCCTTAGCACCCAGCAGCACTTTTTTTTGTCTGTGCCCTGGCAGCTGTTTGAATCCAGATATGAACAGTACCTGGTGCTGGGCAGTGTCTGGGTTTGGTTGTACCCATTCCTTTCAGGATTGATGCTCAGTTATTAATACTGGCTGCACCAGAGTGCAAAATTCCCAGACAAATAGGAAATGAGTCCTGACCTCCAGGTTCACAACCTAAATTAAAAAACAGCAGCTTACCATTTGCAGACTTTTGCTATTGGCATGATTAGCAGAGCATCTCAGATGTAATGGTGTACCCTTCCCATCTGATCCTGTGTAATGCACCAAATCCTGTTGTCCTTAATGAGATTAAATGAGGATTTTTTTACTAGTTCACTGCCTTAGCCATTAGCAACTGTTGTGTGTCTCTAGGCAGTGATGTACCTTTGCAAGCCTGGACTAGTGTCTCTCTCAAAGCCATGATATTTGGCTTCTTCCTACTAAAATTATTTTTATAATTGCTCTTAAGCTCATTGGCACAATGCTTTGAAAGGCAGGTCTAAGTGTATACACCAAAGAGGCAAACAGAGACACCAAAGAGCTCAAAATCTCAGCAGCTGCTAGGTTTATAAGTAGTTCAGCTACCAACAAGCCATTTTGCAGGGCCAGGTGAGTGTTAAAATCTGCAAGCTGCCCTCCCTCAGAGGGGGACCCTGCCACTGTAAGGAACAATTGCCATTGCAGCACAATAGCTCATCACAAATTATTTTTTTCCAGCTGGTAAAATTTGAACAGTGCTTTGCTGCCAAAATGTAGATGCCTCTTGTTAAGAAGAAGCAATCTAGAAAAGCCCCTGGTGGGAATTCCTAGTGGGGAAGGGAGATCAGTGCTCAGGGTTAAAGTTTCCATGTGCAGATGGAGAGCCCTGCGCTGACCGGCCCAGTGAGGGTTACAGACGCCCTGGTGATGGACAAATGCCATCCACCACAGCCACCCCAGGGACACTCTCTGTGCCCCCAGTCTGCTGCTGTTTGGGTGTACAATGTGTGCCCCTCTCACCTTTCCTGAGTGCCAGAAGGGACCCAGAGGTGTCCTGAGACACAAAGGTGAGTGCCAGCCCGCGCCGCCACCATCCCACTGTGCCGCGCAGGGAGGAGCGCTTCCTCTTGGACTGCAGCAGGTGAGCTGGGAGATGGCCCACAAAGCTCCCATTGTTCCACAGCCCGCCTTCAGCCACGGGTGTTTTGTTTGTCTGTTCTTCCCCTAACTGCTCACTTGGGAGCTGTCAAATAAAATCTCAATTAGCTCACTTAGGACGCGCGGGGCGGTGTGGGATGTGCTGGCAGGCAGCGCTCCCTGGCAGGCAGAGATCCTCCATCCTCCATCCTCGATTCTCCATCCTCCATCCTCCATCCTTGATTCTCCATCCTCAACTCTCCATCCTCCATCCTCGCCGTGGGCAGGGAGGCAGGAGGGCAATGTGGGACCTGCTGCTCACACACAGCCCTGACCCAGGCATCACTGGTACCCCGGCAGTTCCCATCCCAGATGAGGACAGCCACACCACCAGGGCACCCAGGCTGGATCTGACACGGGAGCACCTGTGGGGATGCTCTCAAAACAGCTTTCGTCCAATACTCACGCTTTTTGGAGCTTTTATCTCATATGCAGCGCAAGGCAGGTGCTGCAGTAATTGCCAGTCACAACAGGTGTTGTAGCAGTGCTCTAAGCCACCTTGAGAACATCCAGGGGAGAGGTTTTGTTCCTGTTTCACTGCCAGGCAGTTACCAGCTGTCTGGCAACAGGGTAGATAGATGCCTGTCTGTGGTTTTCAACATCAGCCTGTCCAAGGCAAGGCTAGTGCTTGCCCCCTCTCCTCCCCACCCTCAATTCCCATTGCATGTCCTGCTTGCCAGCCTGGCTCTGCTGCTGTGCTGCTGCATGGGCAGTGGGCTCCTGTGGCTGGAACCAACCCTTTCAGACAAGGTTTGTTTCAGCTCACCCAGCAGGCTGCACAAACACAGGTAACAATTGGCATAGGAAGATGCAGAGAGATGGGTTCAGGATCATCTGTTTTGGTAGCAGCCTTGATTTGGATCCATCACTGTGATCACCAGTCTCATGTCCATTGGTGATGCAGAAGCTGAGACTCAGACCAGCTCTCTCTGGCCCATTGTTTTGCTTGACTGGTGCTGAAAAAAGAGGGCTTGCCACCCAAACCTTCCCTCCCTTTCAGAAGCTGCTCTGAATATTCTATTCAGAGGCACAGAGACTAAGCCATTAAGCTTCTCACTGTATGTGAAAAGTCAAAATAAATTTAGTTTTTTACAAATACTGGTGCAATAGGAAAAAAAATTATTTAAGTCTGATTATTTCCAAGACCAGAGCATGGGGCATGGGACAAATTTTTGACAGAGACTGGGACCAGGGCAGCTAAAAGAGTAACTCTTGTGGGTCACAGGACTAAACTGTCCTCAAATGCAAGAGGTGACATGGCCATAAGCCAGGGACAGTGGAAAAATAATTTCCCAGGAAGAGCAGCTCTGTGTTGCCCAGAGTGTGTATATGAATCCCAACACTCATGGGCGGTGGTGCTCACAAGCTCAGTGGTGAGCAAACCCCATAATGTGTGTCTGCTGGTGAATGATATTGAGCAGCTTTTATTCCTGCACACTTCACTTATGTGGGAGCAAGGAATGTGGTGATAAAAAGGCTGGAATGATTTCAGTGCTGGATAGTTTCCATTAATATATTTCTCGTTATATAACGCTGCCATCACAGTACAAAACCCAGTAAGGTGCCTTTAGGAAGGTGGAACTTTTCTACATAGCTGCAATTAGGTAAGTGGGGCTGTAGAGCTGGCTGGGCTTGGATCAGACAATTTTTAATTGCACCGGATGTGTTTGGGCTATTGCATGGTATGAATTTCTTTGCCTTTAGGTTACAAGGCACCTCATAAATTAAAAGGTTGATGTTGTCAAATGCATGCCATTAGCACCCGGAGCAGATAATCCTTCCCATGGCCTCATCAGAGCCTATCTCAAGGCCTGTCTCCAGATAATGGCCTGGAAGAAGAACAATGGTGCTCCCAGATCCCAGGGGCCTCCACTCTTCTGTTCTGTGCTTCAGAGAAGAAAAATTATCATTATCTGCATGGCTCAAGCTCTCTTTGAAATGCAGTTATTTTTTACTCATACACTCCCAAGTATTTTTTACATGATATCAGTGAGAAACTTGAAACCCCCTTTGAGAAGAGAAAGATTTCCTGCAGCCCTACTACTAAAGCAAATGGATAGATCAAGTAGTAAAGTTCAATGACTTACTTAGCGTTAAATAAGAAAGAGAATAATGAATTGGATTTTGTGTGCCTGGTTTTCCTCTGCAGGGAGCAGTCAAGCTAATGGATTTTCATTGCCTTGTGCTTCTGTTCATCAGCCTAGGTGAGTTCAAAACACTCCTGCCCTTTTATGTTCTCCTTTCCCTGCCCACTTGTCACAACCTCAAGCATTTGGAGATTAGCAAACACATAGGTTTGCTGCCATCAGCAGCATCTTGACTGGGGAGGAAAACACAGGGTTAACCCCCTGCACCCAGTGGTGACTTTTGGCTGCATGGGCATCTGTATTTTATTTCTGGTAGCTGCAAGTAGACAATTCCTTACCTAGGGTAGACACTAGTTTCCTACTATTATGAATTCAGGCTGTAACGTCCTTCAAAAAAGACATTATTTCCCCACTGGGTTCACCAAATATTTGTTGGGTCTCCAAACCCTCCTCTTTGTTTAGAGGATTTGCCAAACATGCCGTAGGGCTTTTATTGGGGAAGGAAGGGAGGTGGCGGAGGAGGAAACTATTACAAAGCAATTTAACATAAACAACTTTCTCCTGTAAACTCCAGACACGGCTTGGCAGGGAAGAGGTTAAAGCTAGGGGGTGGATGGGGAGACTCATTAGGGCAAAGTAATAAATGGCAAATTGAAAAGCCCAGGGAGAGACACAGGGGAAGAGATGGGCTGACCCCAAATGGGACCCTAAAGGGACTCTCTGGCTTGCTGGAAGCCCTCTGCTGCTCTGACCTCAGGGTTTGGACCTGGTTCCTCCCTCAGCATGCCAAAGCTGGGGGATGCTCAGACAGAAATCCTGCAGAACTGATTGGGAGTCATATTTCAAAGGTGAACCTGAAAGGTTGCTACAGAGCCAGAAATTGCTACTTCCTGCCCCAAACCTTTGCTGGGTCTGCCAGCGCTGCCCAGAGCCAGGGAGCTGCTCTCTGCCCACTTGGAGCAGGATTTCCGTTCTCCTACCAGCCTTGGTGCCTCAGGCTTTGTGGTCTGTTTTTGTCTGAGTGGGAAATGCATAATGACAAAGAGTTTAAACAACTTATGGTACAAGGAAACTCGCTGGAGTAAAGTACAGGACTCTAATTTGTTTCCAAGGAAGTGATGCACCCTCCAAAAGCACTCCCCTCAAGCACTGATACTGGAAGTGCAGATTAATTGCTGGCCATCCTCAATGCTGCCTTCAGCCCTCAGCTGGGCTGGTACTCAGCACAGTTGGATGCCTGAGGTTCAGGAAGGTCTGGCTGTGAGAGCTGTCCTGACTCTTGGTTTGCTTGTGTGGGTAATTCTGGTCTTCCCGGTGCTGGGGAAGGAAAACCCAGGAGCCACAAAAGCCACAGAGGAATTCTCTTGTTCTATTTCCAGCCCTGCTTTTTAAGACACAAAGGTTTTCAGAGCAGATGCATTTCTGAAGCTTATCTGTGTGAATATTTGACTGCTTATCCAAGCAGAACAAAAACCTTCAAACCTTCTGAGGTCTATCCATCAAGAGCCTTATCTCCCCATGTCACAGTTTGGCTCCTGGCTGCTGCTGCTTGGAGCCTCCCACCACCAGCTTCCCATCTTCCCTCTCTGTGCTGCTCCACAGCCACCCTGTGGCCACAGACCCCCTGCCACTTCAGTGCTGGCCTCTGCACTGCATGCAGGAGCAGCAGGCTGTGCTGCTGCATGCTCTGCAGCCAGCCAGCGTGCTGATGGGCTGCATTTGTGCTGCTGTGTCACAGCCCATGGTCTGCATCCCCCCAACACACACACACAGGGTCTGGGATGTGGCCAGAGCAGAGCACACTGACTCTGCCTGGCCCCAAGAATGAGGAACATTTGCCTTTTTTTATGGGATATTAATGAAGCTTTGATAAAGGAGTCTCCTCTGTCTGAGGTTCCAAGACTGAAACATCCGAGGAGAATACTTCTGATCCTCTCCCACCTGGAAGCTGCTGGTCCCCTCTGGCAGAGGCATCACTGATGTAGGGCTGCTAAGAGATCTCAAGGAGCACCTTAAAAACCCAGGCAGGCTCTACTCTTGTAGCTGAGCATGGTGCCTGAGCCATGGGAAGCACCAGGAGCATGGCAAGGACACAGGAGAGGCACCAGCATCATCAGCCATGTGGGAATTCCTGGCCAAGTTAAACAGCTGCACAGTCACACTTAGTGCCCAGTTTGTACCCCGTGTTACTGAGCTGTGCCAGGAGAGTCTCTGCAGTGCCCTGGGACTTTTCTTGCTTTGAAGCTGAGCTGGCACAAGAAGTTGTCTGCAGCCATCCTGTCAAAGCCATGGCCAAAAACAACAGGGTGAAGACTTTGGAAAGAGCCACCCATGCATAGTGTCACTGATTTAAGCTGGGGACCTGGCTGGCCCAGGGCTTGAGAACAGTCAGAGGCTGAGACCCTGTGCACCACGGTGGGGATCAGAGACCTCTGCTGCTGGTGCTGCCTGGGCTCAGCACAGATGTAGGCAAGCTTCAGCATCAGGGTGGCTTTTCCAACAGGGACCATTTTCCTGTGGTCCTTTTCACAGGAGACTCTGATGTGTGGGTTGGTTTTGCTCTCCTCCCTGTGGCTTTAATTTTTTTCTCTGTTTTGATGGTCAGAGGAGCAAAGCTAATTCCTATCTCATATAAAACAATGAATTAGTCTCAATAACAAGAGGATAAATGTGCTTTTTATACTGTGGTGTATGATAAGCTATTTATAAATTTCATATCACTGCTGGATCATAGTCAGAGTTTAAAATAAAGTTTTAATTTAACCATAGCTTTCCAGTGCTGACAGATATGATAAATACTTTTTTTTTTCTATAAAACCTAATTTCAGCAGTGTTTTGCAAAAATCATTAGAAGCTAAGGATAATTCCTGTGGGTTTTTTTGCTTTGTTTTTCTCCATGTTCCAGTGTTTAGTTTAATGTTACATTCCATTATAGAAAACAAAAAATTGTATCTGTGGTAATTTATTCTCCAAGGCCTCTGCTTAAGAGATGGAAGGATTTTCCTTGAGAAGACCAATGGAAAGAGGTGTCAGCTCATTTAACAGAGGCCTTGGGGCAGCTGCAGCACCTCTCTGAGGCAGAACCAGCCCTCAGGGCACTGCTGCAAAGCCCACTGACAATTTCACAGCGATTGAGCAAATCTTGGTATCTCAGGTGACCCCACAGGAGAGCCAAGAGGGCACAGGGGGCAGGTTTCATGTCTGGAGGGTGAGTTTGAAACACAAGTCCTCCATCTACAGGAGGGTTGAATTCCTGTTGCATCCACCGATGATCTGAGTCCCTTCAAAATTTTTCTGGCTCCTCTCCAGTTTTCCTGCTTCCCCATGTAAACAGCTCTGAGGAAGATGTCTCTTTCTGCAATCAATCATTTTCATTCTGCAGTAAATAGCTCTGACATCAGCTACCATTGTATTGTTGGTGTAAAGGCAGCACAACAGAGCCCTACCATGTTGTGAGGTGAGTGGGTCAGATACTGTGCTGGAACAACAAAAACACAGGGATGGAATGTTGAGCAGGAAAAAAAAGCTTGTTTTTAAAGTGTTTTAAAGCTGCTGTCTGTCTTCTCAGCCCTGCAGTTTACAGCCCATACTTCTCACACTGCCTCCCTGACAGACAAACAAGAGATGAAGCTATTTGGAGAGCAAGCCTGTGCCCTGCAGACATGAAAACCCTGACACTCGTATCTATATGGGCTGGCCTTTGTCTGTGAGGAGCTTCCAGGAGCTGAAAATACCCAGGAAAGGGGCATGCAGAAGGGGAGAGAGGTCTTCTTCTGGTGGGCTGCCATGTCACTCAGGTTGCTTTCATGGTGATACCCAGGGGACACCACTGATGCAGCCAGCTGTGATAATCCTTTCAGGGGAACAGGTGCTGGGGGATAATCCTGCTGTTTTTCCTGGTTATGGTTCTCTCCAGTCACTAAGACAGAGCAAACAGGATTATCACAGCAGCGACTCAGGAGGTGAAGGTTTTGGTGCTGCGTGCCTGGGGCTCTGGGGACATTTGTTTCCCAGGGAGGTGCTGGCTCTGCAGAGCAGCCTGTCCTGCTGGGGGCAGCCAGGTGGGCTGGGCTGGCTGCTCCCCAGGCTCTCACTCAGACCTCCTCAGGGATGAGGGCTGAATCCCAGATGGAAAGCTGCTGCTGTCTACAGCTCTCCCAGGAAGATGCCTTCCCCAGAATCCCAGACAGTGTGGGATGGAGACTGCCCAGCTCTGCACTGTCCCAAATCCTAGCAGGAGCTGGGGGAGGATGAGGGGTGGTAGCTCTGTTTGGGCTGCCACATTTTCTCTAGCATGGAAAGTTTGAGGCACTACAGACACCCTGGGGACTCACAGTGACCCAGCCTGTCCTGACTCTGTGAAACTTCTCTGCCTGAAGCTGTAAGTGCAGGCTCATGCCTCCAGCAGACCTAAATGTATTGCCAGGTTTTGTTTTAAATCCCTGGTGTGCTGCACTCATCAATCCCCTCCCAGCCCAGCTCCACTGCTCTTAGACCAGCCTGCACCCTGGTGACTGTCCTTGCCATGCAAAGCCAATGCCTCTCTGCTCCCATTTCACCACCTTTTGCCCTGCTGATAACAACCTCTGACCCCCCCTATGATTCCCTTCTCCACCACGGAGGAAGAGCACGTGAGGTTCTTGGAATCAGCCTTCACAGCCTCTGTGCACAAACAACTGCTCCCCACTGCTGGTTTGCTCCAGGACTTCCCTGACCCCTGATTTCAGTATCAGCACAGCAATTGATCCTGGCTTCATGGTTCTGTGCCAATCTGGGCCCAAGGCTATTTTAAATGGAAAACTGCAAAATAAACATATGTGTACAGCATGTAGACACTGAACTGCAGGAGGAGGAACCAGGGACGTGCAGGGCTGTTAAAGCTCCAGCTTGCAGTTGTGCTGATAAGGCAGTTTCCAAGAAATTGCCCAGCCCTTAAATTCTAGAAGCTCTCTCTTCCCAGGTCAACAACCTTCTATGGACTGGATCCTGGTGTCACTCTACAAGCAAACACAGGCCAGGCTGGACCTTCTGCAGGTGGTACAAAAAAGAGACCCTGCATTTCTAAGAAGGGGTTCAGGCACCCTCTGGCATAGGAAACCAAAACACACAATGAGAAGCACATTGGTAACTCTGGTAATTTGGGAAAGCACAAGAAAATGTGCTTCAACTTCACTCTTCTTCAGCCAAGCCTCCTCCTTGCCTGAGAGGGGATGAAGGTGGTGTTAGCTGAGCTGTGCTTCCCTGTGCCAGCAGTGGGCTGCAGTGCTGCCACACTTGGGCTCCCCCCAAGGTCTCCCCTCCTCTGGAGGAGCACCCCATCAGCTCTGCACCCAGGCTGCTCCAGCACCTGCTCCCCTGCAGCTCCACACCCTGCTTTTGGCCAGCCTTAACTTCAGACAGGAGCAAAGGCTCCTTGGAGAGCAGATTTTCCACAGCATCCCACAGCTCCATTAGCAAAAATGTTCAGTGTGGCTCTAGTGGGAGCACAGGCAGGGCTGACTGGACCCAGTTTTTTGGCTCCCTCATTTCTCAGGGATATTTTAAAATATCTTTTGCAGGTGCAGGAGTTGACACAACAGAGCATGCACCGTGTTAGAGTCTGTCCAGCTTGTGTGCAAACACCGCTAGTCCCCTTTTCAAACTCTTAGCAGTTGTTTCATAAACACAAAGTACTTCACTTAATTTCCAAACCACGTGGGGTTTCCTCAGCAGGGCCGGTGGTGGAGGACAGGGCACAGCCCCAGGGCCCTGCCAGGGCTGGCAGCAGAGCCAGGCAGAGGCTACCACCTGCTGGGCCCTCCTTGGGGAGTGCTGCTCAGCCCCTCTGCACGGTGCCACTTGCTGCCTGGCAGGAGCCCTGTGTGCATGGCACAAAGCCCTCTGGCCAGCCCTGTGTCGCTGACAGCTTCACATGCAAGCCCTGTGAGCAGGGAGGATGCTTACTCAGTAGCTTTGGGCACCTGACCTGTTTCTTGCTCATTTTATGTCTTCCAGAGCCTGTTTCTCTTCCTTGCTGACCCCACAGAACAGGGTCATCTTTCTGAGCTGAGGCAAATCGCTAACATTTTGCTGAATTGGGGAACCTCTTATTTCCCCATTGAAACTTGCTCCTGCCAAAAACCAAAATTATTCTTCCATCAGTCCATAGAAAGGGGAATAAAATTCATTTGTATGGGATGGGCACATGGCTGAGTTTGTGTGGGATCCCACGCTTGCACAGGGAGTCTGGAAAGTCTTCATGGGAAACACCCCTGCATGTTCAGGGCTCTCCAGGGAGATGGTGGCAGTGTGTGGCCTCGGCTCTGCCATGCAGCGTCACCATGCACTGTGACCTGCAGTGTCACCTGCAATGCCACCCTGCAGTGTCACCATGCAGTGCCACCATGCAGTATCACCCTGCAGTGTCACTGTGCACTGTCACCCTGCAGTGTCACCCTGCAGTGTCACCATGCAGTGTCACCATGCAGTATCACCCTGCAGTGTCACCCTGCAGTGTCACCGTGCAGTGTCACCATGCAGTGTCACCATGCAGTGTCACCCTGCAGTGTCACCATGCACTGTCACCTGCAGTGCCACCTTGCACTGTCACCATGCAGTGTCACCCTGTAATGCCACCCTGCAGGCAGCACTCATGAGCAGCCAGGTCAGGTCAGAGGGCTGCTGCATTTGTGGGGTGCAGAGCCTGGCTGGGCAATCCAGGAAACCCAAGGTCGTGTTTGTCCCACTCAGATGAGTTCCGTAGCTGACCCCGATCCTGCAGCCTTGAGGGCACCTTTTCTGGATGGGCACTTTGTGGATCTTGCAGTTCTGAGCTCTCACTGCTGCCAGCTCCTCCAAGGGGCTCGTGATGTTGCAGCATGTGCTTTTCTGGGGCAGAGACTGGTTTTGCACCAAGCTCACTGAATGCCATTGACACAGTTTCTTGATTGAGCCTTTTTTGTTTGAGCTGCTCTACCAAGCTGTCCTGAGCCTCGACAGTGCATGCTGACATGCACATACAATGCATCAGGCTTCATCTTCCCAGTCAGCCAGGCTCTGGGAAAGTCACTGGAAGGACTCCAGTGGCTTTGAAATAGGAGTTGACTCATGCCCCATGAGATCAAAACAAAATGTCTCTGCATATGAAAAAATATTATGGAAACTGTATCATTCATGCACGAAAGCCTCACTTCAAGTTTATCATATAAAATACATAATATTGGAAATGGAAAGAAAAAATTACACAAGGCCTGGTGTGCATGAAAATTATTGGCATGTGAAAATATCTCTTCCCATAAACACAGCTGCGGTCTGGTACACAAGCAGGCATCCAAAATGAGGAATCTTGGTCCCTTTCTGCTCTTCTTCAAAACTCTCCCTTTCTGTAGGAGTAATTACTTTCTGGACTCATCCCTTGCATTGTCAAGAGTGAAGGCTTAGGATGGAGTGACCATGATGAGGCAGATGACAGGTATTTCAGGAGCTCACAGACACAGCAGCAGCACCTGAGAGCACTGCCTGGGACAGGGCTGGTGCTCAGAGCACCCATGGCCAGGCTGCAGCACTTGGCTCACTCAGCTCTTTGTGGGAGGTCTGAGTCTGGGGTCAAAGCCTGCCCCACTGGAGCTGGCCAGGATGTGGCCGTGGTGCTCAGCAGTGCAGATTCCCTGTGATTCCCTCAGCCCACATCTGCAGCTTGATCACATTCCAGCAAGAGCTGAGTGCCATGGTCCAGGGAGCAGGATTTAGCATATCACCTTGAGGAAACGAGCAGAGGATAGTTCTGCAGCCACAGCAAAAGTAACTGAGGGAAAAAATGAATTAATGTGGGTATTAACCAGCAATTTGTCATACAGCCTCTAGAGTCAGCTTCTGATGATGTGAAGTGTGCTGGGAAAAGCAGTAGATGCCTCTGTACCTCCTCTGGCTTCTGTGAAGCTCTTCAGCCCTGGGAGCAGGTGGATACCACCAAGCCTGTTTACTGCTCAGCAAAGGGAGAAGCCAGGATGAACACAACAGCTGCTGCTGCTGTCCCACCTCTGTGCAAGGGCATGGGGCAGCCTGCAGCTCAGCCTTTCCCTCTGTGCCATGCTTCCCTCTCTGGTGGGAGCAGCAGGAGCTGGCTGAGGGCACTGCAGAGGTTCTGCCTGTCCCCTCCTGGGCTGGACCTGACACACTTCCCATTTATCACTCTGCAATGCCTCAGTGTCCCCTCCCTGTGACACCCCTGTGGCAGAAGGATCCCACCACACACCCTCCAGCAGCTGGGCCTGAATGTAAACACACTCAAGACTCCAACAGCCCAGAGAGCCAAGTGAAATGGCCCACCTGCACCATTTGTCCACTATTGCCACCAGGTGACCCATTTTGTCCCCAGAGCACATGCAGCTCAGCACAGCTGGCCACGCTCTGCCAGCCCATCACCGACCCCCATGCTTGCAGAGAAGAGCTGTGAGATGGCTGATGGACTTCTGGCTCTCATGGTCTCCTGCCTCAGCATTATGGGGTGGCTGTGGAATGTTCCTCAGCCAGCTGGGCTGTACTGGTTCCCTGCTGGAGCAGGGAACTGGCTGACTGACCCCCACCTGACATCAGGAGACGTCCAGCTGCGATGACTAAACTCTTCTTACATTCCAGAGCTCCGACAAATAAATGTTTCTTGAAAATAAGCTGGTGTTTTGTTTTGGGAAATGAGCAAACCATCTTCCTGGTTGCTGGTGTGCAGAGGGCAGAGCCTCACAAGGACCTGCAGGCAGCATCTTGCCTGCCCGCCCTCCCAGCTCGCCTCTCCTCCTTTGATGGGTTTGGAATGAGCTCTGGAGGTCTAACTGCCGAGAGTAATGATGTGTGAAAGCTCACTTTCATTTTTCACTCTACTTTTTTGGAAGGTGGAACATTTTAGAGTTGACAGTACCATGCTAAAGCCATATGAGGCAAGTAACTATTTTTAACCAGATGGAGACTATCTGAGAGTCTACTGCTGAATCATTTCAAACAAGGAAGAAATCATGGGATCCAAATGTAGGCGTGGGAGGGATGGGGGCTGGAAGGCTTTTATCATACACTTATCCCAATAACTGTCCAGCTGCTTCAAAACTTAAGACCACTTAACTGAAAATGCCTGTGGGGTCACTTCAAGAATTGTCTGCATTTTACAAAATGCTACTGCTCTGAGAGAGAGGCAGATCTTCAGGTTGGAGCAGCTTGAGAGGCTCCCTGTGCTCACCAACCCCCTTTGCATCCTGCATCATGCTCTGAGCTGTGCCAAATGGGAGAAGACACTTTCCCATCTTGGCACTGCCCTTCTCTGGGCTCCCATCACCAGGTACATGATGGGTGCAATGTTCTCAACCCTTCTGGGACCACTGCCTGGGGTGAGAGGAGAAAGGGTGGTCTCAGCCCTGCTCTGGTGTCCTTCCACTGCCTCTGCCTCCCCTGCCCATTCCAGCACAGAGGTGATGCTCCAAACAATGAGAGTTTGCCAGGTGAAATTGGCCTTGTGGATAAGCTGAGGGATTTTCCTCACATTTCCTTTTTCTGACACACCTCAGACTTGCAACAACAGGCCTTTCCCCCTGGCAGCCATGGACTGAGGGAGCTCCTCACTCAAGGAAAGGGAGAGCCAGGAAGTACAACTGAGTTACAGCAGCCTGACAGGCCGTGACCCAAAGGCCTGCCACCCTTTGTGAGAATTCATGCACAGCCTATTTATAGGCACCCCGAGCACAGGGGAGGCAGCCACACACATGATGTTTGGCTTTGTGCTAAGTCTGTTTAACTCCACTGCAGGTGCAGCACTGACTGCTTCCTGCAGGAATGTGACACTGCTTGGGCACACTGTGGTGCTAAAACAAGGGCTGGGAGGAGCAATTCTGCATTCAACCCCACCAAAAGTGAGGCTTGGTGGTCTGCAGTGTTTTCCCACTTTGCAATGGGAAATCAAACCTGCTTTCCTGACCTAGTGTGGTACTTGGCCACTAACCTGTTAGCATCATTGAAATCATGAGTGAGACACATGCCCTTAACCCCCTTTAGACAAGTCCCTTGGCTCTGATTTCCCAAAATCTGCTGTTCCTGGGATCCTCTGCACTGAGAACAAGTCAGTCCCTGTCCTGGCTTTGCACTTCAGCATGGGTGGGGCAGAGTGAGCAGAGATGACACCAAGGCATTGTGAAGTCCTGTGTCTGCTTGTCACACAACAAAACATAGCCTCTTGTTTTGTGGAGACAGAAAAGTTCAAATTAACTTTCTCTTCCAAGCCAGCAGTATCATCTACAGAAGGATTCTTGCACATTAAGAGTACTTTTAGCTCCCAGCTCTGTGGCACTTCAAATGAGGAGCATATTGGCCACAGTAGGTAGGCTGCAGCTGTCTCCAGGATCTGCTGCACTGCAGTTGCCTCTGCACACATCCTAATTGTGAGCTATTGGACCAGGTGGGCATTTTGGCTGTGAGGACTCAATCAAATTTAGCAAAAGGAATGGGATACATCCCCTTTAAAGGGGGTCAGGGTCAGTGTCTTCAGTGTGGAGAGTGGAGTTCAGGATAAAGGGTACAGAAACTCAGTGTTTTTAAGAGCAGTTGTGAAGTGAGAGGGACACAGCAGGGTCTGCTGCCACCTCCAAACGCCTCTGCACAACACCCAGGGCACTGCACACCCCGGCTCCACCCTGGCTGGTCACTGCTGTCACTGCAGCTGTCACCTTGTGGCTTTGCTCTCACTCTCAGTGACAGCAGTGAGCAGCAAGGCTTGATGTCAAATGCAGAGCAAGCTCTGAGCTTACATGTAGGCTGTGGAGAGAAGGCTTGCATCTCCCATGGGACCTGGCCTTCACTTGGGATCCCCATCCGTGGAGAAGCTCTGAACTTCCCTTCCAGACCTTCTCCTTTTTTCTGGTTGTTTCTGACCTCACCCCCATGGAGGCAGGGTTGTGGGGAGGTGATGGCTCCCTGCTCGTGTCAGCTGTCCTAGGCAGGCACAGCCCAGCCTGGTGCCAAGCTGACCCAGGCCTTTGGCTCGAGGAAACGCCTGGTTCAGTTTCCTGGTTCAGCTGATGTCACCAGCCTGGCATCCAGCATACCACGTGTCCTTGTCCCATCCCTGCCCCTGCAATCTTGAGTCATGTTTTTTTCCAGAAAGCAATCTCTTCAGATCAAATTAATTCTGTGATTTCCAGGTGCTTCCTCCTCCGCACAACTGATGAACACTTCCTGCAGCTAACGGCCAAGGCCGCGCCAAGCCAGGACATTCAAATTAATCTTTTGTTCTTGGGGACTTTCTGTAGCTTGGTGACTCTGGGTGCTGCTCCTTTCTAACTCACTGATCTAGGTCCTAAAGCTGCCAGTAAAGAGGCATTTTAGGGGGAAGAGGAGGGCAGGGTGGGAAGTGGCTTGTCTGGGGGTCTGAGCCTGTGGGGAGGCTCCCCTGAAAGCTCCCTGCAGAGCTGTCTGGGTGTGGGGTGAGGCAGCCTGGGGTCCACCACAAACGCCCTCAAATGACCTGCAGCTGCATCCCACCCTCTGAGGGTGAGGACAGCGGCCACCAGGAGATCCTGAGGATGTGGTAACTGAAGGCTGTGTTTAAAGGCACCAGATTACCTCTTCTTCCCAATTTGAGGGCTTCTTGAGTAGGATGTTTGGTTTTGAGCAACACTGTGTCCTGTAGGTTCTCTGTGCATTAAGAGGAACTGAGATTTTGATGGGAACACCTTGTGTTGTACATCTATTTCCTCTCTCTCACTTATCAGGTGTGGGATCATGTTGCTTATGTTAAAGTCCAAAACAGAGATGAAGCTGTGAAGCATGAACAATAAATGCTACTCATCAGTAAATACCCCAGAAGCACATCCCATTAATAAGGGGTGATGAGTGAATAAAATGCCTTTTACTCCCTGATGGAGAAGTTTTTATTCACTTCATCTCAGCATAATTTAGTGTTGGGTATGAGCCAGAATGCTTTTATTTTTTGTGTGGATCTACATTTGCATTTCCTCATGGCTATTCTACAACCTGACTGCATTGCCAGTATACATACTGTTGGCATCACAGCATTTTCAGAGCCCATAAAAGACACGGAGCAGAAATCTAGAGAACATACCCCACACCTGTGTGCTACCTGCAGCGCAACCACCAGGATTTGTCTTACAGGTACAACCCCTCCTGACACATATCTCAAAGATCCATTGGTAAAATGTATTTCTTCTTTTTTAAGAAAAATGTTAAACAATTCCTTATCCAGCTTTTTATTTGAGCAAGAGGCCATGTTCTGGTGCTGAGCTGCATCTTTCTTACCTCACCCTCCTCATCAGGCAGGTCTGTCCTAGTAGGGTTTTTAAATGTGGCGGATTTTAAACTAACCAGTTTAAACAAACCTGAACGTGAAGTCTTCATGGTTACTGCAGTATTACCCCTAATGGAAAGGCTTGGTTGATGCTTTCAGTAAGGTCAAGTCCCTCTTCTTAATTCTGGTTTTACTTGTGCCTGCACTTGTGCCCTTGCCTGAGCCGGGAGGTCGACACCCCTGTTACACAAGCGAATGTCGTCGCTGTTTTCCTTCTTGATTGTTCTGCGTGTAATTTCGATTCCACGAGCAGCACTCAGCTTATGTCATTGCATCACTTTAATGGTGTTTTTCTTGGCTGCAAGTTTGATTTTCTTGGCCTTGCAGTCAGGGCATCTCTGCAGACACGGACACCCGATAGCTGCACTCGCCGCTTCCCCTTCCACGCATCTCGCGCTCTCCCTGCAAGCCCAAACTGCAGAGGACTGGCTTTGCAATCCCCCCTTGCCCGTTCACAATGCCAGCACACTCCTCTGCTCCTTTCTTTTTCATGTATCAGCAC